TACTACTACTACTACTACTACTACTACTACTACTACTACTACTACTACCAGTAGTAGTAGTAGTAGCAGTAGCAGTAGTAGTAGTGGTAGCCGTAGCAGCAGCAGCAGCAGCAGCAGCAGGAGGAGGAGGAGGAGTAGTAGTAGTAGTGGTAGTGGTAGTGGTAGTGGTAGTAGCAGTAGTAGTAATAGTAGTAGTCGTGGTGGTGGTGGTAGTCCGGTCAGCTAAGCCTCTGTAAAACTTCTACTTAGAACCTCTACCACATCCTAGAGACAAAAACTCCAGCCCCGTTGTTGTTTTTTGACCCCCCCCTCCAGAACAACATCCAAAACAACATCAAAAAACAAGAAACAGACCAACCAAGACTTGAGTACCACAACGACAAGAAGTCCAGCTACTACTGTAACATCTCTCCAAACCTTCGACCCTATCCCTAACAGTGCCCCTTTGAAATCCCTGACTTGCAACATGTGACAACTATGTTGGGCAGCTGTTTTTGTCTCTACCAACAACAACAACAGCAGCAGCAGCAGCAGCAGAAACAACAACAGCAACAGCAACAACAACCACAACCACAACCATAACCATAACCATAACCACAACCACAACCACCACCACCACCACCACCACCACCACCACCACCACGACAACAACAACACACACACACATACATACATGCATACATACATGCATACATTGGCAACTAATCTTTTTGAGGTATGAACGGAAAACCTGTGGGACGAGGCATTCTTTAGCTGAGTTCATTTTTGCCTTTGTCTGGACACAGCCATCCCATTGCGTTTCGATTCTTCATGCGTGATGATTGTATAACTATATTTCAAAGCTAGGAAAGCCGGCAGACCGCAACAGCCGTTTGGTGGCCTCAGGCACTGGCAGGGGAGTGCCCTAGATCCACGCTAGATGCGCGCTAGACCACTCTGCAACTTTGACCACTTGTCCAATTGCTTTCCAGGGCTACTACTCAATACACTAGAGACATACACACAAGCGGATTGCCTGCACGACGTTGCGCTGGGGTGATGAGAGTGAGTGAAAAGACGAGAAGGGCAGCTAGGGTGGGGGGCTTTGTATGCACGAATAAAGAATGATAGGAACCTCATCTATCATATCTTGACAACTTGTTTCTGGGGGTAAGGGGACTGCTTCTTTCAGCTTCACATTTGGAACTGTTTGACCTGTAAGTAAGAATTCAGCTATGAGGCACGCACAACACACAACCATCTACATGAGCAGTTGTTGTGTACATGAAAGCCACCGCTTGGAATTGCTGTGATTGAAGCTAGGATAATAATGATTTTAGAACGGTTTTTTCAGCTCAAATGCAAGTACTTGTAAGCCAGAATCCTTTGTAGTTTGTGCGTTTTTACCTCCTGTGAGACCTTTGGGCAAGCGAGGATCGGCTTTTTCTTTTTCTACGACGCCACGACCAAACCTGGGCTTGACACCATCTCCTTGTTTGTTGCATGCATATTGGCCTATTCCCAACACTTGATGGTTGGCAAGAACTTGGTGAACCTCACGCCTTCTCGCTTGAAGTTCTTTTCTTACCTCCTCCATCTCTTAACTCTCTTGGCGCTTCTTGGAACGCCTTGGTCTGAAAGCGCATTCAAGTTTTCCTTGATGCAAAGCTTCGTGACGGCGGTGCGTTTTTGCCTCGCCTTATGTTTCTTGGACCCGTGGGTGTCCATTCCTTTTCAAGCACTTTACACAGCAGCCGACTTGCTGATTTCTGCCTCCTTTTTCCAAGTCTCTGGTTCCGAGTGGGGAGCCTTATGCTGGGGCAAACTCTTCGTGCTGGTGGAATCCATCGCTGCATCAGTCTTCGTGGACTTGGTCTTCCGCGCGCACATCCATGCCGTCCTGGATAGCGCAGATGCGGAATCTTTGGTCGGGAGTTTCCGAAGGATGCTACGCGGGATCTCGGATGGCGAGGTCTCGCAGATGGCATCGGTCCCGTATAGTTTTTTGTTGGCGCGGAACGCACATGAAAGACCTAAGTAACACCAATTTCATCAACCTCTTTGGTTTCGGGAATTCGATTGCCCCTGTGTGGTCTTATTCCAGCGGTGCGTGGCCCTCTTTTTCCCCGAAACAAAACAACACACACACACACCCACGCGACGGACTCCTTCCCCTCTAGGTTTTGTTGGATAGCCAGATGAAGGTGGCCCAGGAGAGCGAGTGCTTGAAGCATTTGATTCTGACAGATGTGAGCCTGAAGGGCCGGTCATTTAAGAATCTCCTTGCTGAAGAGGAACATCGCTTTTGCGAGTTCATTGAGGCCTCCAGCAAGGTGGATCACGGAACGTCAGGGCCACCCCTGTGCTTGCGGGTGTCCTTGCGCGGTGCCGCGGGCATTCGAGTTGCGGCCGATCTTTACCATGTGGCGATTCCAGGCCTCTTTGGTGCTAAGTGCCCCTATCACCTCCTTGCATTCATTGAGGATACCGACTCCCGGCCAGCACCTGATGCTCAGGAAGATGCACTGCCGGCAGTACTAGTGGATCCCTGGAGCCAGTCTCCGAGAGGCCTTCACCAGGTACTTGGAGACGCCGAACGTTCAGTGAGATCGGGGAGCACTGGAGGTTCTTGTGCCCCAATGTGTCCCCTGGCCCACCATTGCATGTCTTGAAATGAGACTGGTAATGTAGACTGACTCTTGAATTCATGACTGGAACATACCGTAACCCCATTTGGAGTGTAAAACGTTTTCATCACCACTCTCGCAGCCCGTCCTGAATGAAGTCCCCAGTTAGGACGGAGGTCCACGGCACCGCTGACGCTCATGGTCAGACGGCGCGATTTGTACCAAGTGAAAAGGGATTGAAACAACCACGACCACACAGAAACACTAGCTGGGAGAGTGCAGTGGGACCTCCCAGGAAGCGATATTCTTTGAACATCCAGCGTCCATCATACGAGCCAATCCAAGAAGTTCCTCTTGAGAGAAGAAGGGAACAGCATCAAGGATAGCTCCCTGCGGAAAGGTGCGACCTTCCGACTTGTGCGTTTGTAAGCAAGTCCGGCCAGAAAAAGGACCATGTGAATCCAACTTACCAATGTAAACAAACATATGCCGCAGCCAAAAGGAAAGGTCACGAAACGTAATGTTGTCTGCAGTGCAAGCTTCCAAGCCAAAACCTTGTGTGTGGAAAAGAACAGCAAGTTCGATGTAGGAGGTGCGATGTTGAACACCAACCTGCCATACAAGAGAATGTACGAAAGCAAAAAATACCTTCAAGGACTTGATCTGAATGTTTGCGGAACCACGGAAGTGAAACATCGATCCTGTTCGTGGATTTCCCAGAAAATTCGGAAGCATTTTGATTCCAATGCCATCGGGGAAACTTCTTTCGAAGAACTGCCTCTTCATCACCTTGAGAAGCCACACTGTCATCAACCCTTTGAATCTGGATTTCCGGCGTGGAAAGTTGATTCAACTGAGCCAGAAAAGGGTGCCTTTGAAAAACCTGCTGTTGCAATGATTTAAACACATTCAAAGCAACCGGGAGTGTAAAACCTTTTCATATATTATGTGGGGCTTTATTGATAAAGCTAGAGTCTACAGGCCCCTTAGCATCGATGTTTGTAACGTGGGTCAGGCCAAGCAAGCCCGCAAAGCGGGGGGCGAACCACACGGGGCTTGACTTCACGGCAGACCATGACCCAACATAAGTCCCATAACATAATATGTGTGTTTTCAACCGGAACTCAAGTGTTTCTGTTGCACCCCTCCTTGTGTCCAGGGCTGAATTTCCGTGGTGTGTTTGTCCAGCTCTCAGGCCCCGAGCTTCAAGACATGTTCTTGCTGGTGGATGTCGCCTCCAAGCATCATGTGCCTTGGACGATTTCGGTCTCCCACCGCGCACACTGGCACATGAAGTCGGCAAAGGCACTGAGTTATCGGCACCGAGTTGGTTTAATTTGGAGCTGGTTTTAATATGACTTAATATGCATTAATCGCTGATGATATATAAGCTTTTGATAGCTTTTGAATGCTTTTGATGACATTGTGTTCGACTTGAGCCGCTTGGCCAGCCTTTTGGCCCTTTTTACCCCTGCCAATGGGCACGGCAGAACTCACCAGAATCCTTTCATTGACCCAGAATCAACATGTCTTTATTACCTAAGACTTCATCAAGGCCTAGACGGTGAGTCTCCACCAGACGGTTGTAGTCCGGCAGTCCTTGGGAAGTGAGGGGGGGCAATGATGCGCAGTTTGTAAACCTGGGGTCATTTGAGCATCACTAATTCAGCTTGATGTCGCTTGGCACCAGATCACGAGTAACTTCGGACCAACATATACACATTGGAATCATTTGATTCCTCCTATTGTTTCGGCTTCAAGGAACATTTCATAGACAAGTTACACCTCACTTGACAATGGGTGAGAAGTATTTTTTCAACCACTCTCTACTGTCCATCGACAGCTTGATGCTCGAAGCCCAAAGACCCAACAGTCATAGCCATAACTTTGCATGTGCATCGGAAAGCATTGAGTATAAACTCTGACTAGTAGGAAAAGCCCTTCTGAACATTCAGACAATTCCCAGCAAGCGGTCCACACCGGCAAACTCTCAATGCCGCTAGGCCTTAAGGAAAAGACTTGGGTAGCCGGTAGCCAGGTTTTACGCTTCTTTGCTTGATTCCGACCAAGGATGTTGAGCAGGTGGAGCTCAACTTCCAGCGTCAAGAGCCACAAGACTCACAAGACCTCTCAGACTTGATTGGATGATTGTTTCTTCTTTCCCCAACTTGAGGAGATCTATATACAGAGAGAGAATAGCTTCCCGAAGACATCCGAAGACTAAAGACATCAGATACAAACAAACTAACTTTTATGAATTCTGAGATGCTTGATCAACCATTCCAAGGACCTTGCATCAGCATTGCACTCCGGCATGCCAAGCTTACGCAAGCTCGTGAAACCCACGGACTGGGAAACCATCCGTGTGCGAGTGGCGCGCTTTGCGGAGAAGTCTTTCCGGCACCCGGAGATGCAGAAGGCGATAAAGGGGATGACTTTCGGGCTGCAATGATGGTCAGTTTGTCATGAAGAGTCTTCATGTTTGATTTCTTACTTCCTCGTCTCACTATATATAGTCACATCTAATTACATCCCCCCAACAATGTCAAAACCGATTCTTGCTGTTGATGAAAAAAAGGACCCTCTATGAAGAGTTGTTGCCAATCCCAACGGCCCGGTTTTAATAATCCAACACCCTCCAAGAGGTCTCCTTGTTGGCTTGTTACTGGGGTTCAGGTCTCAATTGGTGGCAGTGAGGGTGCTGGTAGGCAGCGCTTGGGTGTGTCCCATTACCTGTCACAGTCGATTAAAACATATCACTATTTTCGAGAAAAGGCCTTCACAAACCAACATCATCCACTGTTACAGGGAATGATGGAATGGAAATACCCAAGGTATCAGTGATGTTTTGAGGTTCAAACATGTTTCTTTCCGTTTGGGTTCCACAACCGATTCCCCTTTCGCTGCTCCACAATGTCTCAGAAGGTCATTTTTCAGGCTTCTTTCAAGACTGTGGCAGTGATGTGATCCGACCTACGGGAGGGGGAGTTCTATGAAATTGATGGGAAACACATCAAAAGCCGTTTGTTTGCGATAACATTGTATGTTTGCTTGCTATAACATATTATAGTGTGTGCATATAATGTGCACATATATATATATATATACAGTATATATAACTTTATGTAATGTGTCTGTTCTGTTTATACATATACACTGGCTATTTATGTGCTAGCAATGGACTGTACTATAATCAGATGTTTGGGTCGAGTTGGTGGTTTGAAGGTGTTTGACGGTTTGCCATTTGGGTGCTACCCAGAGGTTCCTCAATCACCACGTTGCGCCTACTTTTTGATCCCAGGACAGTGAAGTTGCCTGGTCAAAGTGGTTGGCTCCGTGTCGACGAGGCGACACTCTATGGCAAGGACCACGGCAAGGTTTGGCTGCATTTGCGTGGCTTCCACCCAGAGAAGGCGAAGCTCTTCTCGCAAGCTTCCGCGCCCTTCTCGCTGGGGGGACACTTGCCACAGATGCAAAGCGAACTGGTGAGATGAGGCGCTGCGCTGTTTTAAATTAGTCTCCAATGGTCAAGTTTTTTCTGCTTCCTGAAAGGAATCCTGCACGCATTTTTGTGGATCAAGGAGAGCTGAAGGAAAGCTGATGCATAACTCTCCTGCGCGAGGAAAACCAGGCAATTCATGAGAATGCGGAAGGATATTCTGGGAAGCGGGCCTTACATAATTTAATAGACTTATATGGCTAATTTGATATGTATGTAAAATGTATAAATCATGTAAATATGTTGGTTTTCATCAAATCACCCGTTCCCCATACCCGGCCAAACTCAGCGCCCCAGTCCAGTCCACCCAGGGGGAACCTCCGGCTGAACTCAGCACTAGGAGCAGGAGCTCCGACAGGAGCGCAAGGCCTCGGAGGAGCTGCGTGCAGCCGCTGAGGAACTGCAGCAACGACTGGCCGCTTGGAGCTCCGGGGCGTTCACTAGGGCGTTCGGAAGAGAGCGGTGACCGCGCGGTGGTCATCTTCGGGTCACCGGGCGTACCGATGATGCTCGTACGGGCAGTCCTGGTGGGGTAGAAGGAAAGGAAAAGGATGGAAAGTATGGGGAATCTGTGAAAGGCGGTGATAGGCGATAGGGTGGGAATTTTTGCTGTGGTTGAGCTCGTTGGTTTGGAGTCATCAAGAAATTGTCACCTCGGGACTCGGTACCCTCTGGAAATCATCCCAGGGGTGCACCATGGAACCAACTTCCAGCTCATGTTCAAAGAGTTCAATTCTAATGAGGCTTCCACTAAGCTTCAGACACACGTACGGATGTACAGCTGAATGCAAGCCTGCCTGCCATGGTAGCAAGCTGGGGCAGTAGGACAGGAGGATTTTTGTAATTACATAAACAAACGAGACACCATGATTGTTGATGCATGGATGAACCAAGTCAGATTTGCTAGTTGACCAGAGTTACAGTTCTTTCATGTTTGGTAGACGTGACCATCCGTACAGCGACTTGCTCACTTGACCAATCCAGATGGTTTTGGGTGTACACATGCAAATTGTTCAGGTTTCTAGAACCCGACACTGGCCTGCAGCGCATCCCGGGGTGGTTGATCAGCCCGATCGGTGGTAGGGAACTAGGAAGAGCAATTGCACTTGCATTGCACCCTGGTTTTCCCCCCCAAGAATCATCGACTTCTGATGGTTCTGAATGCTCCAGCAAGCTAAGCGGCTGCTCAGGTGAGCAGCGAGTGGTCGACCCTGGAGCCCATGACCAGCAGTGCTTTGCAGGTTAAACGGGTGGCAAACAGGGAGAAGAGCAGCTGTCGTGGCTGAATTTGCAGAGAAGTTGGGTGCAACACCAGTGGGATTGCTTGGAAAAGGGATGATAGACGATAGAATCATACGAAATGATGTGGCTCAGGTGGCCAGACAACTGAGTTTGTTCAGTTGAATGATGTCTTGCTTTGCAGCATTGTCCAAGTCATTGCCCAACTATACATCCAGTTGCCAGCATAAATTCAGTCAGGTGGTAAGCAGTGGTACGACCTGTGGCAATTTTATGCGTTGGGTGAACCAAACTGACCAAGCATGCCGCAACGGAAACACCTATAGTATAGTATAGTGCTCTTCTGAATACAGTAACGCAGCCAATGCAAAACAATTGCTGTTCACAACACTTCTGGAGGCAAACCGTTAACCCTTGTGTTTTTGGTTTGCAAATGCAATTTCTTATTATATATATTGAAATATATACTATTATATATATATGTTCGCAGCCAAGGCAGACTATATATGTGTGTTTTTCTTAGGTTCCTAATGTGTTTTATGATATTCTAAATAAAGGGACACATATACTGTCATTGAAATTGCAGCAAAAACGAGACAGAAACCATTATTATTCATTTTGGGACTGCGAAGAAAACCACACACCAGCTGCCTTTTTCCTGAACCCACCGACCCACTGGTCCGCCCTGGTTGGCGTGATGGGAAAGACTGCGGATGTTTACAACTTGGGACTGCTCTAAGAGATGTTTCTGCCCAAGCACATGTGGTACTTGCTTCTTTGTGACATGTGTGCAATGGTCGCAAAGTGTTCATGATACTGCTTAAGGGCCCCAAAATTTACTTGTTGTTTATTAATATGTTACAAGGACCAGTCCTACTTTTGGTGGGTGGTCAACTCAACTCATGTTGATGATCCCTCATGTGAGCTACGACCAAAATCCCAAAATTACTGGTGACCAGTGAGGATTACAACTATTCAGTAGAAGGGATTGTCTACCAGGTTTGGGCAGTAGCTTATGTGTTTCTATTCCCTTAGTCGTTGGAATACAGAAAGTGGGATGAAGAACCGCAGACGTGGGCCAGGCCCCGCAGGAGTGGAAGTTGCAGATGCTGCGGAAGGAGGAGGCAGTGGAGGACTGGACAAACGATGGGAAGACGACCATGGCCAAACCTTTCTGGAGTGTGCCAAAACACAGATAACCCAACAGGGGTCGACCCATCTTGGGTATAGCATTTCAATGGTACTTGGATCTGAAGCAAGGCACTCTGGAGCGCCCACAGTTGCGGAGCTTTTTTGCCAAGCACGAGTTGGACATGAAGCTCCCCTTGCAAGAACACTCCCACACAGCATTATGCTGCTTTGGAACACACCACAGCACACATTGACACCAGCGACCTGCAGATCTGCAGACCCTGCCGATCCAAGAGAAGACTAATCATCGAGGCGAAAACCTCCTGAGAGATGCGAACAGGAATCTGGAGATATCTGGAGTATATTTTGGGCAATGGTTTCCTTGTATATATATCCATATGTTGGATTTGCCATCCATGAATTGGAGAAGGACTGTAACTGTAACAGGCCGTGCCGCAGTCACTTTCTGCACCTTGAGTCCACTTGCCCAGAATTGCAAGCGGAAAGGCCTTAATGACTCTCCCGCATTGCAAACGGCACTTTCAATGGGATGCACGTGGCGAAGTCATGGATATGCAGCGGTTTCAGAGTAGATGGCACAAAACCAAAGATCTCTTTTAGATGAGGGTCCATATAAAACACCTTTTGGGTAATGTGCAATCTAATTATATACTCTGATACCATTGTATGGAGTGATGACTGGAAGAGCGGCTTCTGGAACAGCTTATTTCCAGTTGCCAAACGCCTGGGATTTTGCACCAAGCATGGATGGCGCACCTGCTCATGCGAGACTGTCAGAACAAAAACTTGGCAGCGGGTGGAAAGTCTTCGACACATGGTGGCTCAGGTACCCATCAGGAGGGAAACAATTGGGCAGCCACAACGGACACCACGTTTAACAGCTAAGATCAGTAGGTTCCTGCCAAAGGTTCTCAGAACAGAAGGCACACGGGTTCCCCCGGGCACTCAAAGCTTCAGACAACACGCTGGTCTTCTAATACCAGCCAGAGCCCTAGGCCTAAAAAATACGTCTTGCCTCCAGAGCTCGTGTTGGTTTGCTCCGAATCTTGGCGAAAACCGCGATGTGCTGGCGCGTTATTCGACACCCCCTCTGCGAATCTGGACCGATCTGAAGATTGCTGCCGACTCCATAGGGGGCTCCTTTGCTACTTTCCCCAAGCAGTGTGGGCACACTTAGGGGTTCTTACGGTAGGTGTTAAGCAGCTGTGCTTAGATCGCTGTGCCGCGCGGGCGTGTCCGGCTAATTCGCTGCTATTTACAGCACATTCATGCGCATTTCGACTGCGCAGGCTCGCAGAATCTGAGTGGCCGCGGCGAGTGCTTGTCGCGACTGCGCTCTCGTTGTGGTCACGTCGTGCGCATTTTCGCACATGACGGTCACTTTTAAAGTGGCAGGCGCAAGGGAAACCTCTCCAAAGTCGCAGGGAGCGGCTTTACGTCGAAATGCGGGCTTCGTGGCAGGTGCAGCACTTTGGATATGGTGGTGATCTTCGAGGCGCTCTGAATTCGTGACAACTCCACTCCGCTCCGCCCTCCGCTCCCCCCCCCGCTCCGCCCTCCGCTCCGCCACTCCACTCCACTCGCCTCGGCTCCACTCCACACTCCACTCCACACTCCACTCCACACTCCGCTCCACACTCCACTCCACACTCCACACCACACTCCACTCCACACTCCACTCCACACTCCACTCCACACTCCACACTCCCCACTCCACTCCACACTCCACACTCCACACTCCACACTCCACTCCACTCCACTCACTCACTCACTCACACCACCACCGCCACCATCACCACGATCTCCACCTTCAGCACCACCATCACCCTTACTACACCTCTAGACCTCTCACACACTGCTTGGGGTCTTTTGTCGGGATAATTTCCACAGATAGTGGAGGTTGTTGTGTTTGGATCACGAGCTCCGGTCTTGAATCTTTTGGCAAAATCAAGCTCAAATCGTTTGCTTCGATCAATCTTCAGCTAGAAGGTTGAGCAGGATGAGGACATCTTATTGTTGATCCCTGGGCGCTTATGTTGTTTGTTCAGCAACTTTGCTGCTTGTGATGCTGGAGCAACTGAGGTGATTTCACTGTGCTTAGTTCATGGGCTTTGATCATAGAGCCGCTGTGAAGGTTTCGTTTGTTGAGTTTGCAGGACACTTTAGGTTTTGGGAATTCCGAAGTTGAGTTATTTCCCATTATGGAATGTTGTGAGGCAGAATCCATCGTCAAATGCATCATTTTTTGCTGCATTGGAGAAACACCAGCAGAATCGAATGGTGGTACATCATGTCAGTGAAGTTTTGTGAGCATGTGCTGTTTCCAGTATCACCTGTGCAAAGTTCTACGGGCATCCTGGGGTTTCATTGGTTTTCGCTTCGGAGAGCGGAAACATCACCAAGGAAGGCCAAACACATGTCGTCGCCAGACGGTGGATTCATGGAACGGATGGAATCGCCAAAACCAGGACCTTCAAAGTGACCATTACCATTTGGATATTTGCATCCACCTCGACAGTTAAATTTACCAAAAGATCTAGGAACCAAATGAATAGCGTGAACTATCCTGCGTCCACTAGCTACTTCTTCTACTAGCTACCTCTAGCTACTACCTACCTCCAGCGGCCTACCCCTGCGGGCTAACCAAAAAAACAACACATATAGATCATAACTCGTCCCTTCTTCTTTGAATTCATAAACAGAGACTCTAAAGAGTTCACGAACTCTTCAGGTCGCCAAACCGTTTGGCTCGGAGGCAGCCGGCTAGAAGTGCCCCTGGCAGAAAAGAAATCGACGTAGTCGAACCAACAAGTACTTCATCCATCTACCCCCTGAAGCGTTCTGCAAGCAGAACGCTAACCACATATTAAACAATCAACATCCATCCATTACAAGCCTGACTGTTTTTTTCCACACCCAACCATCCATATTGGGTTGGCAAGAATCTTAGAAGTCCAAGATTGAGTGTGATTTGGACCGGGCATATCACGAAGACCACCCTATGTTCCCAGCACGCTTGCATAGTTCTCAACACATGAACAATTGACACAAAACACACACGCATTTCAACTATGGCCTAGTCGGCCTAGTAGCTGAACATTTTGCCCTGACCCATTCCCATTCCCCCATCCCCAGCGAAAAACGTGCTCCTGGGAGCGAGCGAGTGAGGAGCTGCAAGCCACCTTGCGACGGGAACAGCAGCAGATGGCCGCAGTGCATGAAGAGATGCGACTCTTGCAGGACGAGGTGACATCGGGCGGTTCTATGATTTCCATGCCGTGCATCTCATGTTGACCGTGTTGGGAGCGATCCGCGATATTTGATCGTTTTATAGAGTCTTGACATATCTTGAAATATGTAGGCGGTATAGGGCAGTACTCAGTTGACGCTTCACAGATTGAGTTTGCATCTCTTCATGTTGCACTTTTGTTTCATATCTAACTGCTGTAAACACTCATTTTACTTTGGCTCGACGGTTTTTGGATTCCAGGTTCCGGAAGAGCTTTCAACAGGGGAATAACGAAAAGACAGAAACGAGGTCAGAAGAAATGCTACCCCAGCAGTCCAGGTCCTTTCATCCAACATTCTCGTGGTCCAGAATCGGATGAACACCATCGGCGACAATGGCCCTGATGGGAAGAGATCTCATAACACTTGAGATGGACCATTTTTCCCACTATAGTTGAGATAGAATGCTGTACCGCCCATTGTGGTGCTAGTGTTTTTTTGGCGAACAGCAAGTGTCGCGTGAGGCAAACAATTGAAGAACCTTGCTGGAATCTTCAGATGGTCAGACCATGTCAGACCTCCAAGGGTCGGCGGCCAGGTGCTTCTCCAACGTCAGGAACTTCAGAGCCAGGCGGTCCGTGACGGTCGAGTGCAGTGGGGCGTGGCGAGTGCAGTTCTATGCCGAATGGCGATTTGCATGGTGTAGAGTTCTTTCTTTCTCTTGGCCAAGATGTTGTTGTCGATAATATTTCCACATCATGCTGGGGAGTACTCACATGTTCTTTTGACATGTGCGTGCGCTATAAAGCCAACAGCCAACAGCATGATAATCATCTCAATAATAATGATAATCATATATATATATGTATCAATATATCATATACTATACTAATACTATTATATATTATATAATATATATATATAAATATGTAATATATAATAATGTAATATATGATGTATTAATATATCATCACATAGGATCACTGTTTGTTGCGCGCCAATCTTATTTGAGACGCCACATGGCGTTGGTGTTCTGTTTTTGGGTTTATGTCGAAACCTTACAGGAAATGAGCTGGAGTTTGCCAAACGCTTAAAAACAACACAACATACTAACACACGACTAGAAACAACACTGTTGTGCGAATCGAACCACCTGCAACGACAACGAGAGACACAACGCAAACGATCAACAAGACAAGGCAGACGCTCAACTGTGATGCTTTTATTCAAAACACTTCGGAATCTCTGGAGTCTGGAGTGCCCTTTGTGACACCAGCACATAGGTTTCGTATTTATATATATATATATTTATTTGTTTAAATCATCAATCAAACGATCCAAAAGCGACTAGAAATGGTAGGTGTTCCAGGCTCCAGATATGGATAGTATATGGACAATGGTCAGCTATTTTCCTTTGCTGTGTAGAGAACTCGTTGCGCCACCTGGACCATCTTGGCCCAGTCCACGCCGCTGGAGACCGTCGAGCTGAAGGACTTGCGTGGCGAAGTGAAGGCGTCTGACCGGGATGTCCGCGCGAGCGCCGAGCGCGGCGTGGACAAGCACGTGCTTCGAAGCGTGTTTTTGTTTGTATTTTTAAGGCAGACCTGGGCACCGGTCCGGGGAAGGTGAGAAGATGTGGGAAGTACTATGAAGTACTACAGTATTGGGAAAATACAGCACAACTTCTCAAAAAAGCGGTTCGTGGTAAACCACATGGTGTGGCATGTTGGTCTGTTGCTTTTCTTCCCAAGCGTTTGATCCAATCTCAGGGACGAGCCTTTTCTGTAGATGGTTGATTAATAAAGCCCATTAAAGCCCCTCATACGGAGATAGTTTGTTCTGTTTTGGAATCATTCACAGTCAACGACGTCTACTTACATACTGAGATAGTGTTTCGGTCAAATCTGAAAGCCAACACGCAGAGTTGACTATTGGCCACCAAAGTCATTTTACAGAGAACTAAGCTCCTCCGAGGCCGTTTTCGCTACTGTAGCGAAGATCGTTGATTGAAGTACAGCCTGGCGCTAGTTCTTTTGTACAGAGATATCGGAACAAGTTTGCTTCTTTTCTAATTCTAGCTGTCCCTAGCGGTCCCTGTCCCTGGGATCCAAAAAGATGGCTCGAAGTCAACTAGCATCAAGTATCCCCCTTTTGGCTGCTGGTGGATACTGTTAGCGCGGGTTTGGTGTCCAGGTCGCTGTGTCCATGCAAACAGTCTCAGGGATTCAAGACTGTCAGATGGGGGATCACATCTAACCACTTGGCTCCGAGCGAGCGGAATAACAAGAATCGCGATCTGGTCGACATGGTCCAAGATCATACATTTCGGTGTCGACACAGTCAAGCTCTGACCTGCACTGCGTAAGTTGACTATATGTCGATGTTTTTACACAGAAATTGTATTGTATATAATGGTATAGGCCAGAGTCAGAGTGGCACACTGAATCTGACAGGAGCTTCGCCAGAAGTTGCAGGATGCCGAGGCACGACGACTGCACAGTGGAAATTCAGACCACCGCAGACAAGGACAAGTACCATATGGGTCTATTTTAACAGGGACCCCCAGTGGAATCCCCCCACCAAAGGGTTTTGATTGAGTGTTCTTTCTTCTTCCAAGGGGTCTTTGGGAGGTCTCCCCTTTTCAATACACACCCATATATGATTAGGGTGTGTCTTATTTCGGGTAACAGTCGGTAACAGATGATCACTATATTGAGGAAGGTCTTTTCTAACCATCTCTTTCGGGGAAATGGGATAAACCTGTTTTATAAATGGAATATGTTCAACATGAGAGACCTTCTTTTTGATGGATCGGATGGTTCATTCCTCGGAACACTTTACACCCTTTTCCCTGTTGATTGTTTCTCCTTTGGTATGTTGCTTATTACGCTCCATCTCCTGACCCACTTGAGGATAACGGACAACGGTACATAACGCTTTGACCAAATTGCCCAACCATCGTGGACTCAGGGGGTGAGCCACGGAAGGGTAACGTGACAGCGGAATTCGTTCACCCCATGGACTTGTGAGTGTTACCCATTATATCATGTTATGTTCAAGTAATGCATGTATAATAATTTGCTTCCGGTTTTGCTTCCTTATTTATCCACACGAATCAGTAACGAACACTGTTCATTCAGTTGGGTGATTCATTAAAGTCATCAAGTCATAGGCTTTTGAGCCTTTCAGTCAGGTTCAAGGATATGATGTCAGATCTTGAGCTGGAAAATTCCAAGCCTGAAGTTAAGTGTTCGGCCAGAAGACATTTGCATGTGTAAACATGTAAGAGATATGTGCAGCCAGACCTAATTGAGATGTAAACACAGAACAGCACCTCTCACCTGTGTGCTTGAGGCTTGAGGTCTCCAAGCAGGTTTTTTGGGGCCTCCCACCGTGCTCTCCACCGGGCATTCAACCATCAGAAGAGTAAACCAGCAGGAGTTCTTTTGGAGTGTAACTCCGTAGAGACGCCAGCCACACCAACCTGAGACCAAATCCATGCCGTCGATATACGTCGATGACATTTGCAGGCTCGCCGACGGGAGTCGGAATTGGAACTGAATGCCTTGCGGAGCGACTTCGCCCAGGCCCAGCAGAATGCGGAGTGTTTCCTACTCCGCCAAAGAGGAATAATTATATAGGAAAAAGTAAGTTGACCTGTATTTATTGTTCATTGTTTGGTTCTTATTTTTCTTGGAACTGAGGAAGTCGGGTTGGTTTTGCTGCTGTTTTGTTGATTTATATAGGGCAAAACCACTCACGGACTGGGGTGCAGCTATACTCCTGCACTAGCTAATACCCCAACATATTTAGTTACAAAGGAGTGGTGGTCCGCCTCATTCTCAGGGAAACGTATTGGAAGGACCAATGTCCAAAGGTTTATTATCTCCGCCTTCCACCTTCCGCCTTCCAGTTTACGAAAGCCTTTGTCGTGTGGTTTTTGTTCCTTGGAAAGCATTGGTTGCTTGGTTATCCTTTCCAAGGGTCTACGAATCATCATTACAATGGTTTCTTCAATCTGCAACTGGCACTTGCAGAAAGTTTCGCATTAATGGCATCAAATCAATAAAACATTTTTTTTGTGTTTAAATGACAGCAAACATGTCAAAATCCACCAAAACGGCCTTCGCTCGCGCCCGCTCCGGCCTCGGCCGGCCACTGCAGGGCGGGAATGGCCTTCGTGATGAGTCGGAGCAAATGGCCATGCGCGGGGAGGTCAAGGCACACCGGGGCAAGTTTCGAGTGGTGCAGGTAGATGGGCGCATAGGTAGAAAGATGATGAAATATGAAATATGTATACATGAAAACAAAAACCAAACAACACACACACACACCTGTTTTTCTAATTTTTTCTAACTATAAAGTGCTTGAGGTTTTGCAATTGGGGTCCAGACAATCGAACTTCCGCATCCCGACATTTGTCCAAAACGATCCAGTTATCTTGCTCTTTGAGCGCTCAAAACAGTTGCAGGTGGTGGACAAACATGTGAGGCAGGTGCTGGAGCCCTTCAAATGAAATGTTCTCAGTGACTGGTGCCCGGGTCAAGTGTCGCTCCAGGGGTGGCTGGCCATGCTTTGGATGGTGTCGCAATTGAGAAGATCCTATGAAGGATGCTCTTGTTGGTGAGATGACGGTGTGAACACGTAACAATATATATACACAACACGAGCTTGCGACCTTGGTGCCGTTTCTGGAGAGGAACAAACACTATTTGGGGTCTTGCTGTAATTAACTAGTAACTCGTAGATCACTGTGTATACAATGTATACAACGACCTCATACAACGTCCTCATCAACTGTCCCAGTCCCATGAGCAACGTCCAGACGGAGCCTGTGAAACAGAGCGTGTTAGGCCGTTGGGGGGCCGTTGGGCCATCACCTGCCCGATCACGTCAGCAGGGTCAGACCAGCCGGGGATGCCCACCGTGACACATGTCCTCCCACGCATGGAAACAGGATCTTCGAATGAAGCTGAGGAAGGCGGAGGCGCAGAACATGGGAAAACGGGTCATTGGATGGCATGAGGTTTTGGATTGTTTCATAAGGGATCCGCGAACTAACTAAACCTTTATGTCTTTTTGACACCTCCTGCACACGAGGATTGTGCTCCAATGTTTTGATCGCTTCCAGAGGACAGAGGACTCTCGGCGACGTCAGATGGATGTTGCACGGTTGGGCGGTTGCCGCGGACGGATGGGCAGATGCCCTGTTTCTGTTGCAGAATCTTGCAAACTATCCATGAAAATCACTGTCCTCATTTCTTCTCCATGTCCTGAACCATGTCAAGTGGTTTATGGCATTTTATGGCTCAAGACTACGGACCACACAAAGTTCCATGTGTTGATTAACTCTATATCTCAAAAGAAGTATGACCCTTTCCAATCTCCCCCAATTCCTGCAGGGGGAGCGTGGTGAGACGGAGGAAGAGCTCTCGGCCTTGCAGAATGAGGTGAAGGCCATCGCGACGCGTCCCGTTCGCGCGAAGCGCCGTCATGGGTCCTTGCGAGTGGATGTCACAGGGCCACGGTGCGTGGCGTAGACAGCCGTGGTGGTGCGCACCGTTTTTGGGTGCGTGATGTGCGTGCGTGATATGTGCAGGTTTGGTGTGAGGTGAGGTGGGGTTCGAGCACCGGTGACAACAATCGGTTCACAATAATGCTACGTCATTGCTTTCGCCATCGAGCTCTACCTGACGTGTGCATGTGTGGTGTGGGAGAAAGAGTCTCAGAGTAAATGTATTAACATATGCAACATGCTTGATAAAATGTACATTTGGCATCACCTGTGCCTACCTTCCATTGTAAAGAACAACCAAGTAATCCATAACCAAAATCAAGCATTAAACAAGTAAACAACCTATCCAAAAGTAAACACCTTGAGGAAAGAGCAAGCAATCAATATCTAGGGACTCTTGGGTTCCCCCCTCCCCCACGACATGTGGAAACATGTTTATATTGTATACTGTATATATATATACATAGATTAGATCGATATATTTTGTTTGTTTTGTCACGGTTGTGTTATTTGTTTTTGTTTCTATTTGTTGTGTATGTTTTGGTTCTCTCTCTTGCTTCTGGACAGTTTTGTTTATTGTTTTTGTTTTTCTTTTCAAGGTGTTCTTGTCTCTGGTGTGTTTTTGTTGCTCTCCCCTTCCCCAAGACTTCTGGAAAATCGTGTTTCTTTATTTGTTGTCCTTTTCAATGTGTTCTTTTGTTTTGGTGTGTTTGTCTCTCTTTTTGGCTGCTGTTGATTAACTTTTGGAGGTCTGGCTGAGTACGCACGGACCTGAACTCCATGAGAGCTCTAGCTGAGGCTTCGGATCTGGACTCAAGCCTATCTAACTTGTTGGCCTCCAACCTACTAACTTCTTGCTACTAGTAGTAATGGCCTCCAACCCAAGAGCGATGGCCTCCAACCTGCAAAGAAAGTCTTGGAAGTGTGCATCTAAAATACGTTTGAGAATACAGTCCTCCTTTAATATAGTGCAACTGCCAGAAGAGCACTCGCTGCAGATCTAGTAGCTTCACACTGCACCTTGTATGAGATCCTGATGTCTACCTCTTTAGCTTGCCTTTGTCGACTGCAAACCTTATGTACATGTACCCTGGGTGCGCAGTTCCGCGAGGGGAAGGCTACAGAGATAGCGTCCAGCGATAGGGAGGTGCGAAGCCACTAGACTCACAACCAATGTTTTTCTGGAAGACTGTCCAAACACGGGACATTAAACGTCCGGGTGGCCGACGGGACGTCAACTTTCTGTTCCTGTTTATCATCGTCTTGTCCATCTGATCGTGTATGCCTGTGAAAGACTGAGACGAGCAGTGGTTGTGGAACATATTCAAATCTTGATCTAGCGCAACTACTGCACACCATTGCACACCTAAGCAGAGATTCTGAGATCAAAGTGACCTTCTTTCCTTCGGCAGTCAGCGTATTCGCGCTCTATCATGGCTAGAGCGGACGTCAGCTGGGTCGAATCATGGCAATGAAGAAGTGACATGGCTCCGACAAATGGCTGGATATTAAACTATATGCACTTGGCAAAAACGGCATGTGGAGCATTTGTTTTGACAGGAAATGGTCATGCAGCAAAACATGCTGGTGCCTCTCGGTTTGCTTTCTGTTTGGCAATATGCTTCTGCTTGTACTTTCCCTGGTGTTTGCGTCACTGAGTATACATCTTCTACTGTCTTCTTAGATTCTTCTCATCCAATCCACAATTACCACCACCAGGGTTCCGAACCTTTCACAAATAGGCTGGTCATGTCCAGCATGCCTTTCTCCTTTGCTTCAAGACTTTTGCTAGGGAAATTCTGAGCGCAACAACCGTACTTTCGAACAAACATGTGTTTTACTGTTTTTTGAGCCTGTGACATGCAGAAAACACTATAATATATATATATATAACATACAGTATTTGTACAACAAACAAATTTTACATCCCTACCACCGCTCGCCCTCTCTATCTACATGTACTGTACGCGCTTCCCGCAACATCACGGGTGAAACTCTCCGGTGTTGTTCTTGAAGAACCGACTGAGCTTGCATGGAAGACGTGCATCGGAACATGTGAAGTTCTGTGGCAAAAACGACAGGTGACTGCTCATGTTCAATTCCCAACCGGATGACGGTGGAGGCATCCATGACACCGTTGGGCGAAAAGATCAGAAACTCGATCAGGCTAGAGGTTTACAACGTATGCGCAGTCGTAAAGATCCTTACACAAGCTCACTGCCATTTGTGAGCCGTGGACCTGGGTCCTGGGTAGTTTTCAGGCAAAACACAAATCCTCACAGGAGACAAATCACCATTCTCACGCTACTCAGCATTGGCAGGGTTGCAAAGACGAACTGACCTCTTGCAGCCAGATGTGATCAGTGGCATGAGATGCCTTGCGGACTCGCTGTGCATAATTGCATGGACATCCGCACATGTGCCGTCACAGGGTCCAGCCATGACTTGCTGGCTGGTGAACGAGGACAAGCGAAGTAGCATGAGATTGCTTTGTTGCTGTGCACGGTTAGTATAGTTCCCCCCTGTAGCAACCCGCATCCACGTCCACGTGTTGAATGAACATGGTTTTGACTCCGGCCGTATCGAATCCGGAGACGTCCCGGAGACGTCCGGAGACCGTTCTTTTTGGTTCTCCAAGTCGCAAGCAACACACGTTTGCCATGGGAATGTTTCGGAATGTGTTGATGATGTCACGCGCGTGTAGCCTTATCGTGGCAAACAAAAACAACCGATTTGAAGAACACGTGCTTTTGTTCTTGTTGATTCCATGTGTAGCCTTGAGTCTGAGTCCTTGAGGCGTTGCGGCGAGCAGTGCAAGAGAGCAAGAGGCGTCCTCTGGGCGCACAGCGGCGCACAGAGTCAGAAGAATCAATGAGCAAGGATGTGTGATATTGATATATTATATCATGTATTATATGGATATGTGGAAATCCATGGAAGTCCTGACTATACCCAAACCGCAGGAAATCCTCTTCAAATTGGTCAACCAACTGAGGGCTCGCAGTGTCATCTTCGTGTGTTGCATGTGCTCCGGTAAACTGAAGGCCGAAGACCGAGGAGACGGAAGGTCAATGAAGGGGACAATTGAAGACCTAGTGGAACGTGGTTTCGTTTCCGACCTAGACGTGGCTGAGACAGGGATTCAAGAAGAAGAAATTCTAGAGAGGGGATAGCGATAGAGATTAGAGAGGTTTGATGAGATTTGCTAGTTGGTGCTTGGAGATCGAACACCCCAGAAAACCTTCGGCAATTTCTATCAATTCATCTTATATAATTGACATGGACCCCCACGATTGAGCAATTCGATTTGTTCGAGGGTCTTGATTGGCGCCGTTGGCAAATCGAGCATCGACATGGCAAAACAATGCGTTTGCTTGGACATCACTGAGGCTTGGTGACGGTTTCTACTTATTAGCCACATGTCGGCCTTTCCCCGACCACCATCAACCATGAATCTATGGAATATATAGTTGCAGAAACGTACCCCATTCTTTATTTTTGCTTAGCCCTGACCCAATGTAAGTAGCTGTTCCAGACATGTTTGTTTTCTGGCCAGGCGCATCCAGGAATTGGAGCAATCCCACGAGGACCGAGACGCCAGCAGCTGCAGCTGTCGTGGTATTATCATAAGGATGTGTGGCCTCATATCGTGCCTATAGTTCATTGTTCTCTCATGTGCATTTGAGGATGAATTCGTGGATAGACTTTGTGTTCGTGTTGTTTGGTGATGGTTCTGTTGGGTAGATTCAGGGAACTGCGGCGCGGGTGTCATTGGCTTCCCTAGAACCCATTTGACCCCAAGTTTCGATAAGACAAGGCCATATTTTTGGTGGTGTGACTGTGTGCTCTAGAGTCTAGAATACGGGTCACTCAGGTTCTAAGTCTAAGTTGAACTTACAAAGTTAAAACATGGTGTCGAAGTGTGGCTTATGAAATATAGGTAAGAGCAAGAGTCTTCCAGTATTGTGCAACTAGTTCTTCCATCCACTGTAGAACAGACACCCCATCATTCAGCCATGACTTTGGTTCCTGTCGCTTTTGCACACAGCACTTGGGTGGCAATCTGTGGATTGTTGAGACTTGTTGTTCATCGATTCATCATTTCAAACACCATCGACGGAACTTGCTTTAGGACCGTCAAATATCCTCGAGCAAGCAATTTAATTGGAGGAGGTGAAGCTTCCGTCGAGCGCCCGATAGCAACCCATTAAGTCGGTCGCTGCAGCCCTTGCAGCCTTGCACATATTCTTGGATCCTTTTGCGAAGGCCTGGCAGGACCGCAGTAGATGTACCCACCTCTATAACCTGCAGATATGCACCAAAGTCAAACATATTCGGTGAGCTCAGGGGCTTTTAAGATTTTTGAAGTAGGGCGCACTGGAAGTCAGAGATTCAAACAATTTGTGAATCCTCTCTTTGGGACAAACGGCCAGTTGCTGTGTTGTTGTTCGTTGTCTCGAACCAGCTGTTGAGGGTGCAAGAGTCCATCGAGCTTTTGCGGCTTCACCAACAAAAGCAGTGCCATGGCTGGGCGCAGGATGAGATTCAGGTGAATGACACACGATGGCGTTCCGAGATGCTGCTCAAAGAGGAGGCTTTGCAGGAGCGGGGCTCGCGCTCGCAGCACCACAAAAGCCCGACGTTGATCCTGTTGTGCGGGGTGGGGTGGTCGATGTTGGACCCGCAGATGCCACCACCACCCCACCACGTTGGATCCTGTTGGAGTGTTATGCTTCACCAGTATGCAATACTATCAGGTCAGTCTTCCTTTGGGCCCGCCCAGAAAGGCAAAGGACTGGTTCCTCAGATCGACACAACATGAATCTCGAGACAGAAACGGACATAGACACATCTTCGCAGGGTCCATCATCTAAAATCCCCAGCATCCATTCATTAGGATCCATTCATTAGGCAAGAGACCCCAAACTGTGTTGCCCTTGAGGTCTAAGGTCTGGAGGTGTAGAAGCAGAAGGTCTAGAGATCTAGAGGTTTGGAGATCCAGAGGTCCAGATGCTAGAGGTCTTGAGATCCAGAAAAATCTTGAGACCCTTCGATCTGTTTTTTCTTGTTTAACTGTAACTGCTGATATGAGCTTAAACAATAGTTTTATTATAGAACATTTGCCTAGCTGACTTTTCGATTTTGAAGCTCTTGCAGTTTTCTATTTTTGCGGGTCCCTCTATTTTGGGGGGCCTCCTATTAAAACTAGAGATGCCAGAGTTGCCTTTTTTGGGGGGTTGGGGTGTGCTTTCTACCCAATGGAAGGGATTGTATTATCTATCTATCCATCCATCCATCCATCCATCGATCTATCTATCTATCTAACTATCTATCTATCTATCTATCTGCCAGTTGTTGAAGTCGAGACGTGTTTTTGTTCAAATAGCAGATAGAAGGTGATGAGCAAACCAGGAAGTCGAAACACCATAGCGTTTACTTATAGGATAGAGTGTGCTGGAAGATGTTTTCTAAATGCATGGTTTTATTCAATGGGCTTGTTTTACTCAGCGTTCACAGTGTTTTGATTGCACAAGACCTACCGCAAGGAAGTTGGCAAGCAACCCATAGGCTGTTTCTAGTTTCTAGAGGTTTCTATAGGCAGCCCATAGGTTCCCCTTAATCGTCAGATTGTGGGTCTCATATGTCCAACCCTCCAAGGGCTTATAGGGCCAACCCTCGGAAGCAGGGTCCTCATGGAAACTTGTGCCAGATCAGGTGTGCTCTTGGGGGAAAGCTTGATTGGGCCATCTTTTTGTATGTATGTTGTTGTTGTTGATCTGAGAATTCGACCAAGCCGCAAGGGCGCACTATTGATTCTGTCTCAAGTTATTGTACTCCTCCCAAGTGCGTCGTTGCGATTTCGCGTTTCTGTCTTCACTACATTGTGATTATGGTTTGTTCAACAGTCGTTGCGAAGCGGTGTCCCCAAGCAGTTTTGTGTCTAGGAGTGTAGACGATCATTGTTTGGTCATTTCAGACTGTGTATTTGTTTTTTGGTGACTAGTGCTTGGAATACAACCAGCCTCAAGTTCAACCAATGTTGGGACAGAAAGGGGGCAGGCCTCATTTGCCTCGTGCATTTGTTTCTACATACTGGTGCCTGTGTTTACCCTTATCGTGGTCAAGATCTCGTATCGAAGCCGGTGTGCCATTGGGGGGAGTCATCAAAGCGGTGCTAACTAGAAGAGATGAGCAGCATACTTCTCCATCTCATTGATGCCAGATCTGCGTGGCACACTGGCTTTGATGCGTTCACACTGCAATGTCTGTGAAACCCGTATACCATAGGGGTAAGCTATCGACTAGCTATGTGTTTGAACTTGTTTCTAGAGGTTTCTTTTGGCAACCCATAGTTGAAGCCTTTTCGAGAAGGCCCCATCTCCATCAAAGCGGAGCGAGAGCTGTCTGATTAGTGTTTTTGAGAAGTCGTTGCGAAGCGGCGTCCCCATACAGTTTCGTGTCTAGGGGTGGAGGCGTTTGTTGTTTGGATCTATGGTAATCAATATATGTCGGGCTTGCTGCTGTTGGTTTGCTGCTGGTTGGCTGCTACTGGTTCGCTGGTGCCGCCGGTCTGCTGCTGGTTTTCTGCTGCTGCTGCCTTGCTGCTGCTGGTTGGCTACTGCTGCTGCTGGCGGTTGGCTGCTGCAGCTGCTGCTAGCTGCTGCTGCTAGCTGATTGCTGCTGGTGCTGCTGCTTGCTGCTTGGTTGCTGCTGCTTGCTGCTGCTTGTCGCTGCCACTGCTGCGGCCTGGGCTACAAGGCCTACTCATTTGCTGCCTGTCATTGTCTTGCGCGCCCTATGATTATAGCAGGTTTCTTCCATTGCAGACTGGGTATTGGAAACATGATATCAAGCTTGGTGGCAGGCCTGTTTGGTGAAACGCGGTGCCCCATGCGGAAACAAGTATCCCAAGGACGTTGCCGTGACTTAGTCGCGGCGTGGTGTCCCAGTATATGATTGGTTGCCACAGCTGCATTGCAAGGACTTTTGTGTTTGGGTGTTCGTGGGCATGGGTCTTCTGGGCGAACGTGTTCATTTCGCCCAATACCTCGCCCCATGGGGATTTCCATTGTCACAACACATATGTGTAAGCAAAGGCCTCCTCAATTTACATGGGCCCCCCAGGCAAGGAGCGATTTGCAGGGTTCATGTTTTCAAGCGTTCATGTTCACATTTTTCGCAGGTGTGCCATGCGGAAATGTGTCCTGCACAGTCGTGGAAAGATAGGAACGCGCGCACACAGACACAAGAAGGCAAAACGCACGCTAACCGTGGGTCTTTTCGTGATCTTAGCATACTTCTGGCAGAGATCGGAAGCCGGTGTGCCATGGGGATAATGTAGGATTTGCTCCTGTGCTGAAAACGGTGTGCCATGGGATGATGTGGTTTCTAGCCTCTGCTGGTTTGCTGCTGGTTGTGTGCTGCTGCTGCAGCTGCTGCTGCGCTGTGCTGTTTTGCTGCTGGTGGTTGGCTGCTGCCAGTTGCTGCTGGTTTGCTGGCGCTGGTTGGCTACTATACTGCTGGTTAGCTGCTGCTGGCTTGGTGCTGCCTGCTGTTTGGCTGCTGCTGGTTTGCTGCTGCCAGCTTGCTGCTGCTGTTTGGCAGCTGCTGGTTACTTTCTGCTGCTGTTGGGTTGTTGGTGTTGTTTTGCTGCTGGTTGGCTGCTTGCTGCTGCCGCTGCCGCTGCCTGCGCTACAAAGCCTGCTCATGTGCTGCTGGCTGTTGTTGCACGAACCCTATCATTGTGGCAGCGTCCGGTTGTAAACTGGGCTTGGAAAGCATGGTTTTGGCTTAGATGGCCTGTTTGGTGAAACGCGGTGTCCCATGCGAAAGCTACGTGCTGCAAGGACTCTGCCGTGACTTAGTCGCGGTGTGGTGTCACAGTGTGATTTGCTTGCCGCAACTGCTTTGCAAGTAGAGGAGGTGATTGAGGAACCACCAACACCACCATGGCGCTTCTTCGGGATGGACCACGAACCCTATGGCATTGCAGCCCAAGATGAAGGCCAAGCCAAAAAAAGATGATGGCAATGATGAGGTGGGCGCGGACCACGTCATCCCGAACAGCACCGAGGACTTGGTCAGGTTCAGACAGAAAATGAAACAAATGGCTGAGGAGTATGGTTTTTGACGGAGGCTAGAGGAATGGATTGGCATGGAAAAGCGTGTGCGAGGGAAAGGGTGCAAACCATGGCGCGGCCGCAGCTGATGTATTTTGGACAACTTTTAAAAACAAGTCTGCGCCGTCTGGTTTGGGGTGCGCTGCGGATTGATGGAAAGCTTTGTGTTTCGCGTGTGGGCGGTTACCCTCGAGGTAGGAACTTAAAGGTGGTGCCAACATGTGGGTCAGAATCGGTGTGCCAGGGAGGGGGGGTTGGATCATGGCAGCCCATAGGCCCATAGGAAACCTTAGGACCCATCAACATGTAGAAGGTTGAATCGCAATGGAGTGGTGTAGGTTTAGAAACAATCTAGGCTAGGAGAAAAAGTGATTGTATCGAAGCGGTGTGCCATTGTGTTTTCCAAATGGGGTAAGAACATTCGTGGGGTAAGCGGTGTGCCATGGGGGTGGGTCAAGTTCATGTGCGATGGGGTAGGGTAGCTCTCCAAATTGCGTTGACGATGAAAATTGCAGTTGAAGTCTTCTTTTTGTTGGAAAGGTGGATCTGGAGAACCTTGTTCTTTATGTAGCGTTTACAATGGGGAAGGCCAGCAGTCTTGACTTAAGTGCTGACTTTTGCAAGTCGGCGTTCCATGGTGGTTTAGTATCCCACATGCAAGATGTGTTAACTTCAACGGGCACCAGTATCTATAGTATATATTTGTTTGTTTGTCTGTTTGTCCATCTATCTGCCTATTTATCTATCTATCTATCTGTCTATCTATCTATCTAAGAAGTGCTATCTTTTGTCCCCTCAGTGTTGTCACCCTCCACCGGGTCCTGTGTTCCACCTCGCCGCCTCCGCCACGTGCAGGTGAAGTCCTCGGGCCTGGCCTCAGAGTTGGCCCGAGAGCAGCCGGGAGGTCCCAGCCGTTCGCCGGCTCCACGGCGACGTGGGTTTTCGTGGGCGTGGAGGAAATGGAGATGTTTGGATTCAAAGGAAAGATCACAGCATCACTAGAATCTACATACAATCAACCAGCTGTATTGGACCTGCAGGTCATCCCAGTATTCTTTCAATTGGAGCTGCGGTGCACTTGCATCTCAAATAAGCTGCCAGATCATGGGATATGGTGGATACGAGTATGGCATGCCACCCTGGTGGTATAGGTTTTTGGAGCTCTTTTTGAGCTCACTAGTCACTAGTTACCTTCTATGACCTTCTCCAAACCAAACATCCTCATCCCAGCCATCCCACCCTGGAGCCGGGAGCCCGCTGTCGCCGGGAAGTCTTGGATCGAAGACCGCCGCTTTCGCCGGGTTGCGGCCTGTCGCCGGGCTGAGGTTGACTTGCCAAAGATTGCAAGAGGCAGAGGGCACGAACACGGAACATGTCGCTGAAGGTAGCTTTGCATGCTTGCATCTGAAAAGACGACAACAACAACAACAATAAAGAACGTTGAACTCCGACATTGTGGTTCACTTAGCAGTGGTAACATTGTCAACCTATGCAAAACATGTAGTTTTTTAGTGCACTAGGCACTAGGCTTGCAAATTTATTGTCGATGTTGTTACGTGTTTGTTTCAACTGCCTTTTGTTGCATACCTCTGTGTTTTGACCAGCGCCTCATGTAATGGACATCATCATAATTGTGATTTTGCTATTCATGCTACTTTGTAGCCACGTTGCACAATCCTTGGTGCTAACTACCTCTACATACCTGGTAACTGCCGCGTGAACTCACACATAAAAGATATCAAAACAATACACAATATTAGGCATGAATAAAAAAGAAACGATCATGGTTATTTCAGGTTGTGTAAAAACTCCTAACTTGGTAACAATCAAGTCCAGCACCATCCAAGGAGTGGTTGTTGATCGCAAAATACATCGTCAGGGGGTCTTGAAACACCACAGGGTGGTTTACAGACCCTGGACCGTCCGGCCCACCGCAGGCCAGCCTGACCGCCGCGCGGCAGAAGGAGTTGCTGGACGATGAGCTGCAAGCGCTGAAGGGTGAAGCGAAGGCCGATACGGCGAAGGTAGTGGAGTTTCCAGCATGAGAAGATGGCAGAATGCTACTAGGAGCAAAGGGCATCGCCACTAGGAGCGTCCGGACGCTGCGAACGGGGCTCCTGGCCTTACTGCTAGTAGCATGAAGCTACTAGGGTGGAAGAGGAGAACTTATATGACATGCTAGTTTTTGCTGTTCACGACTAGCGCAAAAGGTTGTACCTATATAGACCTCTTCAGAGGTCTCACTTGTTTTTTTGTTCTCATCAGTTCCCATCGGGTGACCGATGGAGACTTGCGCATCCAGACGAGATCAGTAAAGATGAACCTTTGATGGGTTTGGAGTGCTTTTCCCACTTTCAACGCAAAAAGCTTTGCAGATCACTAAGGATGTGGGCTCCAGGCCTCCCCCGTACGCTTTTGAAAAAGGGAAAGATATCCTGAAGACGTGGGACACGTTTGATCTAATTTGAGGTCACCACAGCAGTCGGAACTTGGATGTTTTTTTGTATGTTTTATATTGTGTTTGTTTCTTGTGTTTCTTCTCAGATCTTAAGATCATCCTGGGCCGCAAACAAGCGAGCGGAGGACATTACTGTTGACTCTTGATTAAACAAAGCCCCCATTTGAAGAGGATTTCCAAGTCAAGAGTCTCCATAATATAAGCGTCTCTGTGGGTGTAAAGTCAACGAACGGAAGATTGATGTAGACATCACTTCACTGCACCATCACTAATTACATTGACCGCATATGGCTGGTGAGCTTTTAGACCCTCAGAGGTCACTCCCATCGAAGCAAACACGACTTGATGGAAGGACCTGCGACTCGATGGACGAAGGTGCCCGGTCAGGGTGGAAAGGGTATAGGACTTGGTGCTGGACCCCAAAAATCTACACAAGAATCCATCAAACATCATGAATCATGACACAAAAACTAATTTAAGAATATTTAAGCAACACTTTTTATGTCCAGGTATATAGTCAAAGTTGTTTTCCTTTTCTTCTGGTGGTAGCTACAATGAAACTTGGACCCACTGGGTCGGAGAGTCGTATGCCCAGAAACACAACACCTGGATACACGACGGAACCGAATCGGTGGCGGTGGGAGATCCTTTTGGGGATCTATGGCAACTTGTATGGGTACCGTTTACCAGCAGGTTTTGGTTTGAGGATGTGTGAGGCAGAAAAAGAACGACACATGTGTTTGGATTTGTATAGTTCCATGAAATTTTATGGGCTTCCGATTTGATGCTTGGCTACAGGTGTGTGACGGCATGTGACGGCAGGCCGTCACGGGGAGGATTTTCAGACACTCACGAGTAGACCTCAGGACCTTGGGTATATATACTTGGGTATATATATATATCATTATATGCAACCAATGGTTCCAAAGATTCAACTTCCCAAGCCTTCATCTCCGGTTCGTCAGTGGACAAACGCCTCGGCTTCCCCTGGATCTGGGTAGAGGTTTATCCAACAGGTTCTGTCCAGGTGAGGTTCCACATGTGACCACTGTGTGTTGAGTTGGTCTATGCAAAAGCAACCTAGTGCCCCCCTCCACCCCCAGGTGGTTGGCATATGCCTCAGCCCGCCCATTTGTCCAAGGTCTCATGTGACATCTAGCCTTGATTGCAGCTAGGTTGTGCTATTAAAGGATTATACATTGCATACGTCGTGCTTGGTGACGTTGCAACTCCCTCCATCCCTGGTGCCGCGATGTACACGAGCACAGAAGTGGAGCGATCCGTCACTCGATGTGAGGCTTCTTCTCCGAAGTAGCTTCCAGGCGTGGCGGGCGTCGTTTCCGGCCTGTTGAACTTCAAGAGATTTTTGGAGCCGAACATACACCTGGTTATATGTGCGTGGTATAGTGGGCATGCCATAGTTGTTTTTTCATGTTCCTGTTTCGGGGAATTCCGTTCGTGCTCATGAAATGTCTCCTCCGCCCCAAGACGGCGGGGGTGAAATCAATGACAAGATCCGGGACCTGGTGAGTACTTCCAGTGAGGACGTTGCTGTGGGTTGATAATATGCAGCTTTGTGGTATATAAGCTCCAGCTTTGCAGCTGTGTGCAATCATATTCAATGCTTTGTTGAGCGTTTTGTTTTGAACCAGAGAGCTCCAACCTACAAATCCATTGAGGCTTCAGGGATGCCAAATAGAGGGGCTTTGGACAAGAGGTCACATGAGGCACATGATTTCACTTCTCCAATTGGGTTGAAGGGCTACGCGAATCGAATTTCGTGAGGTGAAAACTATGCTCGACCTACTTCTGAGGTGGCGACGTTCGCGAGGTTGCTAGGCACACTGACGCAGATGTTAATGATTTTCCAATATGTGTCACCTCTGACACATGGGAGTGTCTACCTTGACATATACATACAAAACTTATATTTGTGTTTTGGATGTTGTTGGATCATGTTCCTTGTTGGTGATGTGTGATCGGAACAACACTGTAAACACGCTGCAGCGACATCGGCCACATCTGAAACTCCCAGCGACATGTGCCACATCAACAACGAACTCACTGTGTCAAGTGTGAAAGTTGTTGTTGTTGGTAGAAAACAAAAACAGCCGCCCAATATAATTGTCACATGTTGTAACTTTGGAACTTCAAGGGGAGACGATTAGGGATACGGTTAAAGGTTTGAGCGAATGTTGGTTTCGTAAGTAGGTGGACTTGTTGGACTTGTTTCACTGAAGTCTGGGCTGGTTCTTTTTTTGTGTTTTTGAGGTGTTGTTCTGGAGGGGGGTCCAAAAACAACAACAGGGCTGCAGTCGTTGTTTCTAGGAGGGGGTAGAGACAACAACGCCTTTTGAGGGGGGGTCCCAAAAAACAACAACGGGGCTGCAGTCTTTGTTTCTAGGGTGTGGTAGAGGTTCTAAGTATAAGTTTTACAGATGTTTTAGCTGACCGGTTCCTATACTAGTAGTAGTAGTAGTAGTAGTAGTAGTAGTAGTAGTAGTAGTAGTA